TGAACTTTATTTTTGTTTTCTTACTTCACTATTGGTGCTCTGGCCAAACGTTTGCAGCATTTCGCCGGAGTATTTCCTGTGACAGCCTGCAATTATAAAGTGATGATTCTAACAAAACACAATAGATATTCATTAAAAACTAGTTGCAGAATCAAGCCGAGTTTGGGTGTTACTGTGGAAATGGTGCAAATAGCATTTTTCCGTCTTGTCATGTCACACTTGTATTTATTGGGTTTCCTTTACACACACATAAAGTCCTGTGCAGTAGCACTTAAACAGTTTTCTCAGCTGAGAAGAATCCTTGAGTGCCTGGTGGCTCACAGCCCATATTTAGCAGACTTTTCCACCTGCACAGTCAGGTACAGCCTTCATGCTATTCTGATAATTTCTAAGTGGCTCCCATCATAGCTGTTTTTGTATTCTGGCTTAATTCCCCGCCAAGCTCTGCTGCCTTAAATTCACATCTCTCCTTCCTCGCAGCTCATTAACTGAGCTCACAATTTTGCTACATTTCGGCTGAGCATAACTGCAATCTGCCTGCTTCCAGCAGTATCCATCTTGCTCCTGCATTAATGAGAGCTTTCACGTGTGCCATACACAAATTGTTTACTACTCACGTGATCTAGTACTCTACTCTGCAGTCAGCTGATTGCCGGCCTTTCAGGGACTCCAGAATGTAAATCTTGTTCTTATATTTTAGGAGTTTTTTAACTTTTAACCCAGCTGCTTTTCTCTTGTCCTGGATGATAAGATAATATAATATCACAAAATGTATTCTTTAAATGTATCCCCCCTGCATAACTCCTTCTGTTTAATTTGCCCAACTGCATTATAAAAATACTAATTGTAATTTACTGCATTTTACAGTGTTTGGGATGCACTGCTACTGTATTACTTTCTCTTGTTTTACCTTTGAAGGACCGGTTTTCTATTTCAATGCTCTGACTGTGTAAACTGTCTCTCACTTGAGCTGGATTTGAATGGAATTTGATGTGCACATTTCTAGTTGGCTGGGATCTACAGAATGAATGGGAACCAACCACCCTTTACAGAGCTTATTCCCGGATTGCCTGGTTGCTTTCATTTCAAAATGCAAATCCCCACCTGCTGCCGTGGGAGCTGAGGGCATGTAAAGGAATGTGGGCAAAAGAAAAACAAGGGGATTAGAGTTCGGAGGCTGCCTGGGGATCCGGTGGTGAATGGATGACAATGGCAGGTCGGCCAGCTATCCTTACTCAGAAGCAGCACGGAGTGTCACCTCTCTGAGACACATGGGTTTGTAACAAGGGCTCCAGCAGCTTGAAGCCTCTTAGAAATGAGCGATGTCACTCGGGTTGTCATCTGCTCTTGTGTCAGACAAGAAAGCGTCCCTGGGTACATTCCTAAATTGTGCCGTACGATGCATTAAACCTTGTCTTAAAGATGCTGCCACTTTGGCAAAGCACCAAGCACCAACTGGAGCAGGTGCTGTATCTCATCCTTACCTGCAGAGATAGCCATAGAGATTTTCAGTTCATGTTCACGACTGTACGGGAGACAAAACGGGAGAGTCTAACATGGGACAAATACTGTATGTTGCAGAGGTAAGGACTATCAAAGCAGGCAAGGTATTGTTCCAAATGCACATTGAATATAGGAGTAAGCTAAACAGTGCTACTTATATGTATCTTCTTAGACAGAAGCACCGGTACTGTATACTTTATCTTTTAATGAGCAGAAAAGCAGTTTACGTTCTGCATGTCCCTTTCTAAGGTGATGTGGCAACCATCCAGATCTTCATATCTTTAAGTGGCCAGAATGGTAAAATCTGCTTTTTTTATTTTTATCTTGGTTGGTTTCTAAAGAGGCCCTTTGTTTGGTACGGGGACAGATATTTCTGAAACCAAGTGCAGTCTTGCCAGGCTGTTGCGAAGAACTTCAGTCACCTCACAGTGTTGGTGTACTTGACAGAAAGACCACGGCAGACTTCCAGCTATGCGTGACTGCTCGATAGCAAAGAAGCAGAACAATAAACGAGGAAAGTGCAAGACAGAAAGTTTGTGACACAAGCTGAGGGTAATTGGTTGGTGCCATCACAGTCGCAGTCAGGCCCATTACCCATTCACCATTCATGACAACAAGGCTGCCAGACAATGGACTCCAATGATGCCTGAGTATTAGATTAGAGATAGAGACATGAGAGGCAAGCTCACTCTTTTTTTTTCCCAATACATAAATAAAGCGCAAGGAGGTGTTTAATGACAATAATTGGAAGACAGCAGTATTTACTGTTCACAATAAAAAGTAATGCCTGTCATTACAGGACTGGTTTATTAAGACCTATCCTGAAAAAGTGCTTAGATGTTCCAGCACTGGGCACAACCTGTTCCTGACCTCCATTAGTGCCCCGCCATGCAGTAAACATGTCCGGAGCTCCATTAGAATGGGGCAGCATGCCATGCAGTTTCTTAATTGCTCTCTCTGCAAAGTGCCCATTTTTGCAAGGAAAGCCAGATGGCTCAGGTTCACTGAGTGTGTGTCACTGCCCCTCCTAATGTTATGATTGTAATCCCTCCTCTTAAGGGCGCTCCGGCTCTTTCATATTTTTCTAATGACATGCACCTGTCCCCAGTCCTGCCCCTCCTTATTTACGCCGGGCCCTCTCGCTACTCCCGGCTCTGCATTGGAAGACGGACTCCCGGAGGCCTGCCTACCACCAAGTCGCTCTGCGTCTGCAGCTTGAGGGCATAGGTCTCCTATCAGCGTCCTGACCAGCTGAGTCCGGGGCTCAGAGCGCCTGGCCTCGTCATCCCGTTTTTATTCCCTTTCCCTGTGCCGGATCCCATTCCAGCTTTTAACTCTTGTCTTGTTTTGTCTCGATTGGATCACCCGGATTTGGACTTTTGGACTTCGCCCCCAGTTTCCCTCCTGGACTCCTTGGACCTGTTCGCCCTTGCTACGCCCCCCGAACACCAGATCACCATCGTCACGCCCCCCGTCTGTCAGCCCCTCCTGATCCTCGTCGTCTCCCCGTCATCCTTTTCCACTTATTTCTGGATTATACCGTCTGCATAGGGTCCAGACCAACTGTATGTTTCATGTGAGCCTGGACCAGCTCCCGTTACACAATTCCTATTCAATGGGATTGTGAACCTTCTGCCTAGCTGGTACTTAGAGTAGGCTTGAGTCTTCACCATGTGGTGGGTGAAGATTACAGTAGTTATTATTCCTCTCCCTACCCCCTGTGCCTTTGTAGCTAGAGCTCCAGTCTTCATTTGGTTAAAATAAAAGTTTAGTGAATTTGTGAGGGAGAAATCAATCTTTTTAACAGCAGTACTGTATATATATATAATAAAATGCATGTCACTCTTAATATTTTAGGTAGAAAAACAATATGCTACTGTATATCAGTGTGGGTCTTAACAGCGAGATGTAACAAAATATGGGGAAGAAATAAGTATTGTATAAGCTTTTCTAGTATTTCAGTTTTTCATGTACTGTATATGGCAAAAACATTGTGGCAATAATAACATTTTGTTATAAAAGCTTTTGGAGCTTTTGAATGCAATTTATTATACTATTATATATTTTAAAATGTTTTTTGTATTGCATCCATGAACATATTCATTTTCTCACTCTGAATCTTTACAATAATACTGTACATAAGCATTAATTTTGTTGTTTTTTTTTTTAGTGTCATTTCTCTCGTATTTGCTTGCTGTCCAAAAATGCATCCTCTAGATTTATAGACACCGTCTAGGGAAATGCAATTAAACAGGACATTTCTGCAGACAGAAATGATCATTTTAATGATCATTCACGCAGTTTGGATCAGGAAAAGTAAAAAGTGGTTGACTACTGTGCAATCTTTTCATGTTTCATGGTGACAAGAAAGAAAAAAATGTCTGGATCAGATTGTGGATGTGTAACACATCAACACTGAATTTGCCATTAGCATCTTCCCAGACACAGTGGACAGACACAGTAGGTGCATTAGAGAAAAACAGTGACAGAGCCATGGAAAGGTTTTTAAGGGTCGAGTTCTGAATCTGTTGAGGGTGTTAAACTGGAAGAGGTGCTGATGTTCTTAGGGTGCCCCCTGAGATGTGTCTCACTGTGCTGGGAAGGCGTGTGCTGCCCGTGCTTCAATCCTTTCCCTCTCTCCTGTGTTCTCTTGTGGGGCCCTGCAGGCTGCACTTCCTGGTCTTCCACACGGAGGAGTACCATGATGTTCTGCGGATCTGGGACGGGCCACCGGAGGGTGGGATCCTGCTGCGTGAGCTGAGCGGCTCCCTTCTTCCTCCCGACATACACAGCACCTTTAGCTCCGTCACCCTGCAGTTCAACACAGACTTTTTCACCAGCAAGCAAGGCTTTGCACTGCAATTCTCAGGTACAGAGATCAGGAGGGGTTGACAGGAGGGTCTGACTTGGGTCTGTCTGTTGCACAGGGCCCGGAGGCTCAGTTCTTGATCCTAGTAGTTTTAGCAAGTTGGACAACAGAGGCAAGTCACTTTATCATGTTTGGAATTGCACCAGTGCCTACTAATGGGTTTCCCATTTTGCTGTATTTTTTACTATATTTTTGTATTGTAACTTACTTCTATGAGAGATTGATGTTACTTAAAGCACCGCCCCTGAACATCATCGCTTGCAGTTGGTCTGCTTTCCCTGCATTCATCCCCTGCAAGCTCACTCTCTCCCCGCAGTGCCTGGCTGCAGAGAGGGTAGTGGAGAGGGGGCTTTAGGAGGTGGGAGGCTGGGCTGCTCAGGATTGTTATTCAGGGCGACTCTGCAGCAGACTGCCCTGCACCAGCCCAGGGGAGGGGGAGACAGCTGGGGCTGCAGCTGTTCAGCTCTGAAGAGACTATTCCAGAACAGAGAGGATTCCTCAGCTCGAAGAGTTAGAGCAGTGCAGGCAGGCAGGGAGGCTGGAATCCCAGGGGGTTCCACACCAAGACAGAGGCTAGAGCAGGCCTTTCAGACTCCATCCACACGAATGCTGGCAAGCAAGGACACTGGTATGAAGATCCTGCCATCAGAGCAGTCTGAGATCCATTCAATGAGTATTGATTAAAAATAACCTCGCTTTTCAAAGATAAATCCACTTGAGGAGAATGGTTATTCAAACAGTACAGCTGACATCAGTGCAAAACCTAATTGCCTTGAAAAAGAACATTGGATAAAAAAGTAACTTTGCACTATACTTAATTGTGTTCTAAAGTACAAGCTACTATGCATCTTAATATTCCAGCATGCAACAAGACAGCCTTCAGCCTGCAAAATCTACGAGTGCATAATAACTTCAACTACAAATCAAAACTTTCAAGAAGCCTCCGCTGCACACAGCTCATCTATGCCCTCTTGCATTTCTCAGCCTTCATTGAGAATGTTGCTGAACCTAGATCTTTTTGTGCATGTCCCTCTGAAACATCAAGATATTGATTTTTTTTTTCCTGTAGTGAGGTCTTTCCCTTTCTTTTTGGCCACATTGCTTCATGCTCGTGCATAAGTAGGTTCAGCAAGTTAAATCAGAATCTGCGAGCGCAGGACTGAATTTATTCTCCCCTGCACAATGGAGACCTGAGCATCTTTTATTGAATGTTGTAAATTCTAGAGTCTATTCCTCCAGACAGTGGTTTAAGATTAATCCAATTATTTACTTAATCCAAGTGCTTGTCCTTTCTGCAGTGTGATGGTACTTTTGGGTATAGAAGATTGGTCAGTAATATCAAGCCATTGTGCAGATGGCTGCAAGGTGTGATGGTAGTGTTCTGTTACTGACAGTGTCCACAGCAACCTCCTGCAATGACCCTGGCACTCCATCTAATGGGACACGCAGCGGAGACAGTCGGGAGCCGGGAGACCACGTGTTGTTCCAGTGTGATGCTGGCTATGTGCTACAGGGGGCACCCAAGATCACCTGTACGGAGATCGACAGTCGCTTCTTCTGGCAGCCAGACCCTCCTACCTGTACAGGTGCGATGACAGTGATGGGTCAACTAAAAACTTTCTTTCTTCCCTTCTCTTTCATTTCCACTACTAGTTTTCTTTCTGTTGCCTTGTCTTTCTTTCTGCATCTGTTATTCCTCTTCTATCTTGTTCTTTTTTATCTTTATGTATTTTTGTCAGTCTCCTATGTTGATTTTTTCCCCTTTTTTCCTCTCCCTTTCCTCTAACACAAGACATTGGGCCTTTTGGCCCACCAATCCATCAATAGTGGACAGGTCTGTCCCGTTCAGTAACTCTTAAATTAGCACTCGAATGGCTGGATTCTCTGATTGAATATGTACCATGGAATCAGTTGCCTTTGAAACATGAGGTTCATTTTTCTTCCTTTTTTTTCCCATGAGTCATATTGTACATATAGTAACCTAATAATTAAGATTTAGAGTGCCGATAATGAACCAAGTTCATATTACACACGGAGGGCAGAAGAGGCCAATAAAATGCAGAAGAGGTTTCATTTTCAGCACAGGAATCAATACGCTTCTGCTGTGCACTCATATTCAGGGGCCTGTAACATCTGCTTTATGTCTTTAAAGCCCACTGTTTCTTTGCTTGTCTGGCCCTGGGGCAGTAAGTGAAAGCATAGCGGCATTTATTCCACCCACACGAACTCCAGGAACAAGCTGTAAAATCCACTC